TGAGTGATTGCAGGAGAAATAAAATGGGAGACAGCAAGAGGGAAATGAGCCAACACTGCAATCCCAATTTTCCCTAAGAGAACCCGCCATACCTGGCAGAACACGGGTTTTCTTTGAGCAATAAAACCATCAGCAAAGTCTACTTTGAAAGCCCTCAAAAATACAATTGTTTGCCATAAAGGATGTGAGGAAGGGGATGTCTTACAAACATTTTGCTGCAGAATTCCTGGACACCACAGAACGATCACTGCACACCCAAAGCATTTGGGCCACATCTCACATGGCAGATGCACAAAAGCTGAGTGATTGTAGGAGAAATAAAATGGGAGACAGCAAGAGGGAAATGGCCAACACTGCAATCCCAGTTTTCCCTAAGAGAACCCACCATACCTGGCAGAACACGGGGTTTCTTTGAGCAATAAAACCATCAGCAAAGTCTACTTTGAAAGCCCTCAAAAATACAATTGTTTGCCATAAAGGATGTGAGGAAGGGGATGTCTTACAAACATTTTGCTGCAGAATTCCTGAACACCACGGGATCAATCACTGCACACCCAAATCAGCAAAGCATTTGTGCCACATCTCACATGGCAGATGCACAAAAGCTGAGTGATTGCAGGAGAAATAAAACGGGAGACAGCAAGAGGGAAATGAGCCAACACTACAATCCCAGTTGGCTTTCCCTAAGAGAACCCACCATACCTGGCAGAACACGGGTTTTCTTTGAGCAATAAAACCACCAGCAAAGTCTACTTTGAAAGGCCTCAAAAATACAATTGTTTGCCATAAAGGACGTGAGGAAGGGGATGTCTTACAAACATTTTGCTGGCATTTGATGGGAGTGGTGTACTGCAGAATTCCTGGACACCACAGAACGATCACTGCACACCCAAATCAGCAAAGCATTTGTGCCACATCTCACATGGCAATGCAGAAACTGAGTGATTGCAAGAGGAATAAAATGGGAGACAGCAAGTGGGAAATGGCCAACACTGCAATCCCAGTTTTCCCTAAGAGAACCCACCATACCTGGCAGAACACGGGTTTGTAYTTGAGGGAGAACGCCTGCAGCAGCTCCTTGGAGTCGGCGCAGTCCTTCTGTAACTTTTCCACACAAAGGCACTTGGAGTGAATGAGGTTTGTGGTCAGCTGGTTCACATCCATCCACTGTGCAAACAGAGTGCTCTCCTCCAGCTGTTTGCCCAGCAATTCCAGCCTGGCCTTGGCAGCCGAGTCCTTCTTCATGTACTCCACGAAGCCATAGCCCTTGGAAYGGCCGCTGAGCTCGCTGTACACCAGGAAACACCTCTCCACGTTGCCGTAGGCACGCACCAGCTCCTCAAACTCCTCCATCCTCAGGGATAGGGGCAGGTTGGTGATGCACAGCAGAGCATCYGTGGGCTGCAGCTGCACGGAGATCTCCTTGCCACGCAGGGAGGACTGGTGGAATTTCTGGATGGCGCTCTGGGCCTGCTCCCCGTTCAACAGGGTGACAAACGCTGCAAAATAGCAAAGGGGACATCAATAACCTCAGCTTAGCTGCAGACACACCCCTCCCTGCCCCTGAAACCACAGGTGAATCTTTGAGATTCACCCCAAAGATACAACAGATAAACACACACATTATATACATAATAAATAATATATATATAATGGCTAAAATCTGGGATTATCAACTGAACATCACGATCAGTTAACCCAAAAAGTGACTGTGCTGTGACACACACAGCTCCGCTGCTTGAAACCCAACCAAATTCTGGATCTGGGGAACAAAATTAAATGTTCTACCAGTAGACTATTATTTACTAAATTAAGCATTTGACTGAAGTCAATTTGATTTAATTAATTATTGSAATGAAGTCAATTTAATTTCATTAATTAAAGCTTTTACTGAAGTCAATACATTACAGAGTACYGAGTATCTACTGAGTATGTTTGATGACAACATCCACAGGTTCTCACATCATTGGAAATAAGTTTCCCAAAGAACCATRGTGKAAATAAGGTGGAAATAAGTTGAAAATAAGATCTTTTTTTGATGACAAAAAAGGCACTTTTTGTGCCTTCCTTTTGTGAGGGACACCAGACAAGCTGTGCCAGTCTGTGATTTCATACACAGCACATGATGTCCCTCAAGAGYTAAAATAGATGAAATTTTAAGTTCTCACCTGTTCTTTTATTCCTGTCCACGTAACAATACTTGATTTCATAATCCTTAAACAAGTCATGGATTTCCTGCAAAAGAAAAGCACGAGCAACATCACCTAAATAAGCCACCAAACCAAGCAAGTGCATAAATTCATCCTCATCTCAAACAAAACCCAAAACCTCCCAACAAACAGAAAATTTCACCATAGAAACACTATCAAATATTTGTTTTTAAGGGACTGGTTATACCACTGCAGCAATGTTTTTATCTCACATGAAAAAAAAAACCTGGCTTACAGCATTTGATTAATTTACTTTTCATTCCCTAGGGTCACATAAACACAAAAGGGCRTCCTGTCAACTGTCTTTTGATAAAGACAAATAACATCACAGCTCATTAAATAGCAAAACCCTCTCCATTTCTGTGAAGTACAGCTGGCACAGCTCAAATACCACATGGACAAGRAATCCTGGCAGTGCCACATCTCCAAATTTATCGAGGGCAGCAGCGCTGCCCCAAAATCCAACAGTTCCCTGCTCAAGTTCACTTTAATAGATTTTCACTCTTMATAATGGATATTCTTTCAGCCAGCAGATAATTGTGGCCAGAGTACCCCCTGGAAAGTATCYTCTATCAATTACTGCACAGATGCTCAGTGGAGAATCAATCCCAAGAGTGTTATTTGCTCCCACTAATTAATAGGAAGAGAGGAGGGGTGGGTAAGAGCAGCCTAAGAGGGTTTTGCTACAGCTATTCCCACCAAAACCAAGGTGCACATACCCCAAAAAACCCACAAATTCTTTCCAGTTTCTGATGAAAAAGCAGAGATAAACATTCATCACCCCAAGGAGAAATCAGGAGCAGCAACCTGGATTTTTATATTATTTCAGCTGGATAAATCCCATCCACAAAATTATTTCAACGAGCAAAATAATCAACCAGCTTTGCCTGAAAGTTTAATTGCAGCCCATTTCCAGCAATTGCCAGTTTGGTAATTCAATATAYGGACCCTAAAGGTTAATTGGGTTCTCTGGGAGGGGTATCAGGTGCACACCTTTTAGTCAAGAGAGCACCAATCTCTGGTTTCACTATTTAACAGCTGTCAAATGCTGCATGAATAAAATATGGCAGCGTTGCTGCAGCTCCCACACGGCCTCRGTAAGGTGTGATAAGGATGGGGTTTCTGAAATGCAGGATATGCCAAAAATTCAAGCCAGGTGGGGGATTTGAGAGTGGACATATCTCAAAACAAGAATTTGGTTCTTTCTCAGTTGTGAGAGACTGAGGAGAAACTTTCTGCACAGTTTGGGCAGCTCAGGTGTGCTCTGCCAATGAAGTCTCAAAAAAAAAAGAGGTTTTTGTCCTACTCAGAAGAAGAGGGACATATTTGCCCTTTTGACTTCCTGTATTATTTATGTCTTGGGGATATCTTTTTATTCCATCCCATCTTTAAAAAAAATTGGTTTGTTTGGGTGTGGTTTGTTTGCTGCTGTTGTTTGTTCTGGATTTTTTTGTTTGTTTTCATCTTATGTTTTTGTTTTGCGTCTGGGAAGCTCGCTGTTTCCCCAAGAGCAACAGTGAAGGTTTTCTATGATGATCAGGTGGCAGGAAATAGGATTTCAAACARATCTGAACACCCTTTTGAAAGTCATCTGTGTATCAGATGATTCCACATGATTCCCCAGTAACTGCCTGAAASTGAGAGGAAAAACAGCCCCTGCTGAACAACTCTCTGGGGGATAATTATGAGATATCATGTAAAAAATGAGGAGAATAAAAGGGAGATTTAAAGTGAAAACCTAATTTAGGCGCAGAAGTTTTGGTAAAGATTTTAACACCAACTTTCCACGGTTTGTGTGGAAGGTTTGTGCAAAGGGCTCTGCCAGGAAGGGTCTGGTTCCTGCTCTCGTGGGTCCTGTCCAGGGCTGAAACTTTCACCTGCGGGACTGGAGTTATGCAGGGATTCAGGAAAGCATTTCTCACATAAACACCAATTGTTAAGATYTATAAAGATAAAACACACCCTGCCRACCCTGGGAAATGTGTGCTCCTTCAATGAAACAGCTGTAAAGAGCTGTGTGAGCTACACTGAGATTCTCTGCTGGCTCAGCCAGCTTGAATCAGACACTCCTCTCAACTTCATCTCCAGCATCTTCCAGCACTCAGGTCTGGTGGAAAAGGAGCAGCACTGCCTTTGAGACCTTGTTCCCAGCTCCTGCTCCCCACAGCTCCCGGCAGAAGTGTCAGGGATAGCCAGGAGAATGCTCCATGTGTGCTCTGTAGGATCAGCACCGATCCCTGGAGCCATAGAACGCTCCATGTGCTGTTAACAGGATCAGCACCGATCCCTGGAGCCACAGGAACGCTCCATGTGCTGTTCTGTAGGATCAGCAGCGATCCCTGGAGCCACAGGAATGCTCCATGTGCTGTTCTGTAGGATCAGCAGCGATCCCTGGAGCCACAGAACGCTCCATGTGCTGTTAACGGGATCAGCACTGATCCCTGGAGCCACAGGAATGCTCCATGTGCTGTTCTATGGGATCAGCAGCGATCCCTGGAGCCATAGGAACGCTCCATGTGCTGTTAACGGGATCAGCACTGATCCCTGGAGCCACAGGAATGCTCCATGTGCTGTTAACGGGATCAGCACTGATCCCTGGAGCCACAGGAATGCTCCATGTGCGCCATGGATCCATCAGCACCGATCCCTGGAGCCACAGAACGCTCCATGTGCTGTTCTGTAGGATCAGCACCGATCCCTGGAGCCACAGGAACGCT